TTTAACTTTTAGTTGATTCACAAAGCTTTGTTTGAATGTATTTGACTTTCCTTAGATTCAAATTATTTGTTTGAATTTGTTTGACTTTCATTTAATTCAAACAACATTGTTTGATTGTGTGTGACTTTCATTTGATTCAATCAGCTTCGTTGAATGCATTTGACTTTCATTCGATTCAAAAAGCTTTTATTTAATGTGTTTAACTTTAATTTGATTTTAAAAGCTTTGTTTTATTTTTTTAACATTTATTTGATTGAATTAGCTTTGTTGAATGCATTTAAGATTCATTCAATTCAACAAGCTTTGTTTGAATGTTTTGACATTCATTTGATTCAAAAAGCTTTGTTTATATGTGTTTAACTTTCATTTGATTAAAAAACCTTTGTTTGAATGTGTTTGACTTTTAGTTGATTGAAAAAGCTTTGTTTAAATGTGTTTGACTTTCATTTAATTTAGTTAACTTCGTTGAATTAAATAGACATTCATTCCATTCAAAAAGCTTTGTTTGAATGTGTTTGACTTTCATTTCAATGAAAAACATTTGTTTAAATGTGTTTAACTTTCACTTGATTTAATTATCTTCTTTAAATGCATTTGACCTTCATTTGATTGAAAAAGCTTTGTTTAAATGGTTTGACTTTCATTTAATTCAAATAAAATTGTGTGAATGTGTTTGACTTTTATTTGATTCAAAAAGCTTTGTTTTAGTGTGTTTGACTTTCATGTTATTAAAAAAGATTGGTTCTAATGTGTTTTACTTTCATTTGATTCAATTAGATTTGTTGAATGCATTTGAATTTTGATCGAATTAAAAATCTTTGTTTGAATGTTTTTAACTTTCATTTGATTCAAAAAGCTTTGATTGAATGTGTTTAACTTTCATTTGATTCAAAAGCTTTGTTTGATTGTGTTTGAGTTCATTTGATTCACCTAGCTTTGTTGAATACATTTGACTTTCATTCGATTAAAAAAGCTTTTTTTTTTTTAATGTTTTTGAATATCATTTGATTCAAAAGGCTTTGTTTTATGTGTTTGACTTTTATTTGATTGAATTAGCTTCGATGAATGCATTTGAATTTCATTCGATTCAAAAATCATTGTTTGAATGTCTTTGACATTCATTTGTTTCAAAAAGCTTTTTTTAAATGTGTTTAACTTTCATTTGATTCAAAAACCTTTGTTTGAATGTGTTTAAATTTCATTTGATTAAAAAATATTTGTTTGAATTTGTTTGAATTTCATTTGATTCAATTAGCTTCATTGAATGCATTTGACATTGGTTCAATTAAAAAAGCTTTGTTTGAATGTGTTTGACTTTCTTTAGATTAAAAAGTTTTGTTTGATTGTGTTTAAGTTCATTTGATTCACTTAGCTTCGTTGAGTACATTTGACTTTCATTGATTAAAAAAGCCTTATTTGAATGTGTTTGACTTTAATTTGATTCAAAAGGCTTCGTTTTATGTGTTTCACTTTTATTTGATTGAATTAGCTTCGTTGAATGCATTTGAATTTCATTCAATTCAAAAAGCTTTGTTTGAATGTGTTTGACATTCATTTGATTCAAAAAGCTTTATTTTAATGTGTTTGACTTTCATTTCATTCATAAAGCTTTGTTTGAATGTGTTTAACTTTCATTTGATTAAAAAATATTTGTTTGAATGTGGTTGAATTTCATTTGATTCAATTAGCTTCATTCAATGCATTTGACATTCGTTCAATTCAAAAACCTTTGTTTGAATGTGTTTGACTTTCATTTAATTTAAAAAGCTTTGTTTTAATTAGTTTCACTGTTATTTGATTAAATTAGCTTTGTTGAATGGATAGACTTTTATTCAATTCAAAAAGCTTTGTTTGAATGTGTTTGACTTTCATTTGATTTTAAAAGCTTTGTTTGAATGTGTTTGTCTTTCATTTGATTAAAAATCTTTGTTTAAATGTGTTTGACTTTCATTTCATTGAAAAATAGTTGTTTAAATGTGTTTGACTGTCATTTGATTCAATTAGCTTCTTTGAATTTATTTGACTTTCATTTGATTCAAAAAGCTTTGTTTAAATGTCTTAGACTTTCCTTAGGTTCAAAAGATTTGTTTGAATGTGTTTGACGTTCATTTGATTCAAAAAACTTTGTTTGAATGCGTTTGACTTTCATTTGATTCAAAAAGCTTTGCTTGAACGTGTTTAACTATCATTTGTTTCAATGAGATTCGTTGAATGCATTTAACTTTCGTTCGATTAAAAACGCTTTGTTTGAATGTGTTTAACTTTCATTTAATTCAAAAAGCTTTTTTTTTTATTGTGTTTGACTTCATTTGATTCAATAAGCTTCGTTGAATGCATTTGATTTTCATTCGATTAAAAAAGCTTCGTTTCAATGTGTTTGAATTTCATTTGATTCAAAAAGATTTGTTTTAATGTGTTTGACTTTTATTTGCATGAATTAGCTTCGTTGAATGTGTTTGGCTTTCATTCGATTCAAAAAGCTTTGTTTGAATGAGTTTTACTTTCATTTGATTCAAAAAGCATTGTTTAAATGTGTTTGACTTTTAATTGTTTTAATATGTTTGACTATGATTTGATTACATTAGCTTCATTCATTGAATGCATTTGACTATCATTCGATTTAAAAAGCTTTGTTTGAAAGTGTTTGACTTTCATTTAATTCAAAAAGCTTTGTTTGATTGTGTGTGACTTTTATTTTATTCAATTAGCTTCGTTAAATGCATTTGACTTTCTTCTTCAAAAAAAAAAAAATGCATTTGACTTTCATTCGATTCAAAAAGCGTTGTTTGAATGTGTTTGACTTTTAGTTGATTGAAAATCTTTGTTTAAATTTGTTTCACTTTTATTTGATTTAGTAGCTTCGTTTAATAAAATAGACTTTCCTTCCATTCAAAAAGCTTTGTTTGAATGTGTTTGACTTTCATTTGAATGAAAAACCTTTGTTTAAACGTGTTTGACTTTCATTTGATTTAATTAGCTTCTTTAAATGCATTTAACCTTCATTCGATTTAAAAAGCTTTGTTTAAATGGTTTAACTTTCATTTGACACAAAAAGATTTTTGTGAATGTGCTTGACTTTTATTTGATTCAAAAAGCTTTGTTTTAGTGTGTTTGACTTTCTTGTTATTTAAAAAGATTGGTTTTAATGTGTTTTACTTTCATTTGATTCAATTAGCTTTGTTGAATGCATTTGACTTTCGTTCGAATTAAGAAGCTTTGTTTGAATGTTTTTAATTTTCATTTGATTCGAAAAGCTTTGTTTGAATGTGATTAACTTTCATTTGATTCAAAAAGATTTGTTCAAATGTGCTTGACTTTTATTTGATTCAAAAAGCTTTGTTTGAATGTGTTTGACGTTCATTTGATAATTCAAAAAACTTTGTTTGAATGCGTTTGACTATCATTTGATTCAAAAGCTTTGCTTTAATGTTTTTGACTATCATTTGATTCAATGAGATTCGTTGAATGCATTTAACTTTTGTTCGATTAATAAAGCGTTGTTCGAATGTGTTTAACTTTCATTTAATTCAAAAAACTTTTTTTTAATTGTGTTTGACTTCATTTGATTCAATAAGCTTTGTTGAATGCATTTCACTTTCATTCGATTAAAAAAGCTTTGATTAAATTTGTGTTTGACTTTTATTTGCATGACTTAGCTTCGTTGAATGTGTTTTACTTTCATTCGATTCAAAAAGATTTGTTTGAATGAGTTTTACTTTCATTTGATTCAAAAAGCATTGTTTAAATGTGTTTGACTTTAAATTGTTTTAATATGTTTGACTTTGATTTGATTGAATAAGCTTCATTGAATGCATTTGACTGTCATTCGATTTAAAAATCTTTGTTTGAAAGTGTTTGACTTTCATTTTATTCAAAAAGCTTTGTTTGAATGTGTTTGACATTCATTTGATTCAAAAAGCTTTGTTTGATTGTGTGTGACTTTTATTTGATTCAATTAGCTTCGTTGAATGCATTTGACTGTCATTCGATCCAAAAGGCATTGTTTAAATGTGGTTAACTTTAATTTGATTCAAAAAGCTTTGTGTAGGGAATATTTCAAGCATTACCCCTAGCTTGAACCCCACTGTGATCATACACTAAAGTACGGTGGCGTTCAAAGGGAAAGAAGATAGAGCAAAAGAGTCGCCAACAAGTTTTAGGAACTTGTAAACCGTTCATAGGGTGAACGTTACACCCCTTAACCATCCAGGAGATCATCAACTCCAATAGGTCTTGAACCATGACTGGTAGTTAGGGGATGAAAAGGTACAAATCGAACCTAAAAGAGATTGAACCTACCCTAATAATAGGCCTCTACTTTATTCTCATGTGCGCTTTCTAACTAACATGCAATCAATAGGTTTACCCTAAACCTGTTTATCTATGTTGGTTGAATATTAATGCACAAATAAAACTATTATTGAAGATCACTTGAGTTATAATCAAATTAACCCTAACAAGATTATTAATTATCTTATTAAGCGTGATTACAAGTACCAATTCCCTTTAAGCATGCAAAAAAAGGTGTGATTAAGCAATAACAATAAATATAATCAAGCAACATTATAATAATCATTACAATAATAATTATAATCATAACAATCATAATAATCATGTTAAAGCATAATAATAGCAAGATCCTAGGCGTGATACTAACAAGATTAATAACAAACCCTAGCATGTCACTAAACAATAAAGATCAAAGCTTTAACCCTTACATGATACTAACATGACTATTAGGAAAGAACATAAAAGACATCATACTTTTGATCATACTTGATTTTAAAGTTACCCTAAACATGATACTAGGAAGATCAAAACGCCCTAACATGACATTAGGAATTATAATAACTGTACAAATGTACAAAGAATACAAGCTTGACAACAGGCAACTCCAAAACTACACAAGACCTAAAACAAAGGCCACCCCCACCTCAAGCTTTAAAATCCTCAGTTGCCACCTTCTAGGAAGGGTTCACCTGAAGAAGAAAAAAGCAAACCTATCCAGAAGCAGTCTGCTGCCTTCTAGGAAGGACACAGACCACAACTGAAAAGGACTAACAAAAAAAACAAGCAAAAAACAAAAAACAACAAAGCATCAAACCAAAATGAACTAATTTGGGATGCTGCTGTACAGTTCCTGTATCCATTTACACTGCAATCTACTCCAATTCTTGTTTATATGCTGCTTGACTTTGTCCATGCTCACCCTACCAATAGCTTTATAAAGCTTGGAAGGGTGAATAACAACTTTCTGCCAAAAAGTTGTATTCCTAGCAAACCAAATGTGATAAACAACACAAGCCAGAACTGCCAGAACCTCCTTCTGCTGCACCTTATCTTTCACTGCTCTGAGCCAGTTCTTCCAAACCTCATCAATGAAGAAATTCTGATTTGGAATACGGAGCCAATGGGCAATTCTCATCAAACACTCTTGACTGTATCTACCATTAAAGAACAGATGCTGTCTGTCCTCAATATTAGCACCACATAGCAAACAACTATCCTCAGCACAAGCATCATATTTAAAGAGTTTATCTCTTGTTCTGAGTCTATCATGCATAGCAAGCCATAAAATGAAAGAATTTTTGGAGATATTGAACTTATTTTAAACCCATTTACACCAATCCACCTTTGTTTTAGCTCCCTGCAGCCATTTGTAGCACTCAGATATTCTATAAGTGCCATTCATCCAGCTATTTTTCTCAAAACCTTCTTTTAGCTGGTCCTTAACTGCATATAATCTCCTCCAAGCCCATCCTGCAGACCTTTTAGGACTATAATTCCACCATTCTTGGTCTTTAATGTTGATGTACAAAGCATGAACCCATTTTACCCACAGAGAGTCCTCTTTTTTAGCTATTTTCCACACATACTTCCCCAATGCTGCCCTGTTCCACATACCACAATCTCTAATACCCAGGCCACCCTCAGCTTTGCTTTTGCAGACCCAATCCCAGGAAATTGGGGGAGCCTTAGACAAAACAACATCTCCACACCAAAGAAAAGCTCTGCACAACTGAGTAATCCTCAAGACAACTGACTTAGGTAAAAGCACACACTGAGCCCAATAAGTATGCAAACTAATCAGAATAGAGTTCACCAGCACAACTCTTGCAATATAAGACAGATTTATGCTAGACCAGCAGGTAATTCTAGTCAGCATCTTATCAACTATAGCATCAAAGTCAGATACTCTCAAGTATTTAGAATTCAGGGGGATGCCAAGATATCTAAAAGAAGTTTCTCCTATAACAAACCCAGACTCAGACACAATTTCCTGCTGCATTTTAGATTGCACACTCCCAAAGTAGATAGCAGATTTGTCAGCATTAGCCTGTTAACCAGAATAACCCTCAAAAGCTTTCAAAGCTCTTACTAAGAGGGAGACAGAATTCTTATCAACATAAGAAAATAACATCAAATCATCAGCAAAAATTAGGTGATTTAATCTTAAGGATTTGCATCTTTGGTGAAATCTAAAGCCTCTCTTTGCTCCCACTATTTTAAGCAGTCTTGAAAGGTACTCCATCACAATGACAAACACCAATGGTGACATAGGATCACCTTGCCTGATTCCTTTCTTACCCTTGAAAAAACCATTAAGACCACCATTTATCATAATAGAGAAAGAAGGGGAAGTAACACATTCCATAACCCAAGATATGAACTTGCTGGGGAAGTTTAAAGCCTGCAGCATATCATGGATAAAGGACCAGTGCACAGAATCTTATACTTTCCTCAAATCCACCTTTATAGTACATCTAGGAGACTTTCTCTTGTTATTGTACTCTTTTAACATTTCCTGACACACTAAAATGTTGTCCAGAATAGATCTCCCAGCAATAAATGCACTTTGATTCTCACTAATTAAGCCAGGCAGCACCTCTTTGAGTCTTTCACATAGCGTCTTAGAAATGATCTTGTACAGCACATTACAACATGCAATTGGTCTAAACTAAGTGACTTTAGTAGCATTGTCCAATTTAGGAACCAGAGTCAAAGTAGTTGCATTCACCCGCTTCAGCAGCTGACCATGCTCAAAGAACCCTAAAACTGCCTTACATACCTTATTCTTCACCACTCCCCAAGCATTCTTGAAGAATTTTCTAGAAAAACCATCAGGGCCAGGAGCCTTGTCATCCTCAATTTTCCAAACAACATTTCTCACATCATCCTCAATAAACACTCTGCAGATACTCAGATGTTGCTCATCATTCACAATAGGACCAACATCTATAACAGCTTGATGGACTTGTCTAGAAGGGGTCCCACCAGTACCTAACAACTCTTTATAGAAACTAATAAAAGCTTCAGCAATTTTATCAAGGTCCTGAATGATATCACCATTCTCAAGCTGAATGCTATACACATTATTATGCACTCTTCTTTTCCTAATACAAGCATAAAAGTAAGAGGAGTTAACATCACCATCTTTCATCCAATGTAATTTGGCTTTTTGCTTCAAAAACTTCAGTTTTGCAGAGTGAGCAGCTAAGAATCTTTCCCTGGCATCACTTTCCATTTGAATCTACTCCAAATTCTGAGGATCCTTGTTTAATTGACACAACACCTTTGCTAAGTCAGCATCAGCTATAGCATCTGCACTCTCCACTGAGGAGAAATTTGTCAAATTTAACACCTTGAGAGCTTCTTTTACCTTTTGCAGCTTTCTTACCACAATGAACATATCAGTTCCTCTCACATCACTATTCCAAGCCTGTTGAACAGCTTCCTGGTATCCTGGAGCATCAATCCACATATTAAAAAACCTGAAAGGTTTCTTAACATTCCCATTACACCCAAACATCCTCATAATACAAGGACAATGGTCCATTAAACCCTCAGGCAAGAAATCAGCTCTAAACTCTCTGCAGTTTTCAGTCAATAGATCATTAACCAAGATCCTATCAATCTTTGTACACACTATGTCACTCCCTTGATGCTTGTTATTCTAAGTAAAGAACAGACCCCCAACTTTATAATCCATTAGACCATTTTGCCTAACACATTTTCAGAACTTGTCAATCTCAGCAAAAGTAACTGGGGAACCAATTATGTCCTCAGTATTCAGAACATTATTGAAATCACCCCCTAAAATCCATGGACCCATAATGTCCTTTTTTATCTCCCCAATCTGATGCCACAACACCTCTCTTTCATCTGCAGTATTCAGCCCATAAACAACTGTATACCAGAAAACAAACTTAGAAGCCTTGTGAACAACTTTCACATGGATTAACTGAGTTTCAACTCTATCAATCTCAACTTGAAAGATATCAGGTAACCAAACAATCCAAATTCTCCTTCCAGGATGCTTACTATAATTTGCAGTCACAGACCACTTATCACCAAAACCAGTGAAGACCTTACCAAAATTACTAGCCTTCACTTTTGTCTCCAGAAGCCCAAACAAACCAATTCCTTGGTTCTTCAAAAACCAAAGAACATCACAAACTTTATTTAGTTTGTTAAGGCCCCTGACATTCCAAAAACCCCAATTATCCATGGAGAGTGTATGAGCACTCCCCTGTCTCCCAGTCACCAAACAGAACCCTCCCATCTGCTATTCTGCAAACTGATCCCATAGAACATTTATCCCCATCAGCTATTCCAGAAACAATATCTGGATCAACATCAACAACAAACTTATTCTTATCCACTCTGATGCCTTGAGGTTGTTCTACCTGCTGATTTTTCTAAGCCTTAGGCATCCAAACCTTCCTTACCACAGGCTTCTTCTACTGCTTTTGTTGCTGATTCTTAGCAGGAGGCTTCTGAGACTTAACTCTGTGATTTAAAAAATCCCTATCTCCATGTCCCATACCTCTACAGACACTACAAATAATAGGCTTCCTTTCATATATCACTTTCTGCTTAACATCAACACCACATTTATCTTGAAACTCAATCTCATCAGGTAGCTCACCATTTATTTTAACCTTGACCATTATCCTAGCATAGTCAAGCATTTCCTTGGTAGTTGTGCTTCTATCAGTCTTAACTGGTTCCCCAATTAGCCCAACTATTTTCATTAAGGAAGATTGACCCCAGAATTTTAAGTTTAAACCAGGCAATCTAACCTAAGTGGGTACTTCAAACACCTTCTCATTTCCCAGATCCAAACTTGGCTCCCACCTCTTCATCATTACTGGTCTACCATCAAACAAGATAGGTGCAGAGTTCATCACCTTTTCCCGTCCCACCACTGTCTTGAATCGAACCAGAAAAACCCCATTATTCATAGCAGAGATTCTATCTATTCCATATTTACCCCAAATTCTTCGCACAAACCCACTCATTACAGACAATGATGGTTTACCACAAAGAACATAACAAACAATTGCTGACTTCCAAAACTCAATTTTAGGTAGAATATCTTCCTCAGTTTGTTTCATTTTCACCTCTTTCCTATTATCCATTTTGCAGCATGAATTACAATTAACTCCATTACTACCAGCAAGATTTAAACCCTCATCAATCGTATTCTTAAACATGCTACTCCAGCTAATACCACCCGATTCATTAGGGATTGCAGAAACAGGGGTTTCAAAAACTGGGTTCCGAAGTTGGGGTTTCACAAAGTTTTCCTCCAGATTCACATGAAAATCATTTCCTAACCCATCATGTTCATTAATCATCAACAATGGAGTCGAATTAAAAGACCCAGTACAAACATCAGAATCTACTGTTCCATTGAAATGCATATGATTAGGGGTTCGAATTACCTGTAGCCATCGATTAAATTCTTCACTATGCAGAGCCTTATCCTCCTCCGTCACCATTCTCACCAGAATCACCTTAATTGCCTCCCCATCCAGCCAGCTTTCAACCGAGACATCATCCATGGCCATACTCTGTTTTTTCTCGTCGAGGTTCCTCGTTCTTGACTTCAATTTCTTCTTCTCTTTCTTTTTTGAGCCCGAGGATTTCTTCCCCTTTCCTTTCCTCCGTTTTGCCATGGAAATCGGCTTCCAAAAAGCTCAAAAATCAAGTTGAAAATGGTGGGTATCTTTCTCTCTCTAGAATTTCTTGATTGATTACTTCCCTTTCATTTACAATTTCATTTGATTCAATTAGCTCTGTTGAATGCATTTGACTTTTTTTCGAATTAAAAACTTTGTTTGAATGTTTTTAACATTTCATTTGATTCAAAAAGCTTTGGTTGAATGTGTTTGACGATCATTTGATTCACAAAACTTTGTTTGAATGCGTTTGACTTTTATTTGATTCAAAAGCTTTGCTTGAACGTGTTTGACTATCATTTGATTCAATGAGATTCGTTAAATTCATTTATTTTTCTTTCGATTAAAAAAGCTTTGTTTGAATGTGTTTAACTTTCATTTAATTCAAAACGTTTTTTTTATTGTGTTTGACTTCATTTGATTCAATAATCTTCGTTGAATGCATTTGACTTTCATTCGATTAAAAAAGCATTGATTGAATGTGTTTTAATTTCATTTGATTCAAAAAGCTTTGTTTTAATGTGTTTGACTTTTATTTGCATGGCTTAGCTTCGTTGAATGTGTTTGACTTTCATTCAATTCAAAAAGATTTGTTTAAATTAGTTTTACTTTCATTTGATTTAAAAAGTATTGTTTAAATGTGTTTAAATTTCAATTGTTTTAATATATTTGACTTTGATTTGATTGAATTAGCTTCATTGAATGCATTTCACTATCATTCGATTTAAAAAGTTTTTTTTGAAAGTGTTTGACTTTCATTTTTTTCAAAAAGCTTTGTTTGAATGTGTTTGACTTTCATTTGATTCAAAAATCTTTGTTTGATTGTGTGTGACTTTCACTTGATTAAATTAGCTTCGTTAAATGCATTTGACTTTCATTCGATCCAACAAGCTTTGTTTGAATGTGTTTAAATTTAATTTGATTCAAAAAGCTTTGTGTAGGGAATATTTCAAGCATTACCCCTAGCTTGTACCCCACTGTGTTCATACACTAAAGTACTGTGGCGTCCAAAGGGACAAAAGATAGAGCAAAAGAGTCTCCAACAAGTTTAAGGAACTTGTAAACTGTTCACAGGGTGAAGGTTACACCCCTTAACGATCCAGGAGATCTTCAACTCCAATAGGTCATGAACCATGACTGGTAGTTCGGGGATGGAGTTACAAATCCAACCTTAAAGAGATTGAACCTACCCTAATAATAGACCTCTACTTTATTTTGATCGTATTCATGTGCACTTTCTGACTAACATGCAATCAATAGGTTTACCCTAAACCTATTCATCTATGTTGGTTGAATATTAATGCACAAATAAAACTATTATTGAAGATCACTTGAGTTATAATCAAATTAACCCTAACAAGATTATTAATTATATTCTAAAGCGTGATAACAAGTACCAATTCCCTTTAAGCATGCAAAAAAGGTGTGATTAAGCAATAACAATAAATATAATCAAGCAACATAATGATAATCATCACAATAATAATTATAATCATAACAATCATAATAATCATGTTAAAGCTTATTAATACCAAGATCCTAGGCATGATACTAACAAGATTAATAACAAACCCTAGGATGTCACTAAACAATAAAGATCAAAGCTTTAACCCTAACATGATACTAACATGAATATTAGGAAAGAACATAAAAGACATCATACTTTTGATCATACTTGATTTTAAAGTTACCCTAAACATGATACTAGGAAGATCAAAACGCCCTAACATAACATAAGGAATCATAATAACAACCTAGACGTTATTTCTACATCATAACGTGTTTAACTTTAATTTGATTCAAAAAGCTTTGTTTTATTTTTTTTTTTCACTTTTATTTGATTGAATTAGCTTCGTTGAATCCATTTGAGATTCATTCAATTCAACAAGCTTTGTTTGAATATGTTTGACTTTTATTTGATTCAAAAAGCTTTGTTTGAATGTGTTTAAGTTTCATTTGATTCAAAAACCTTTGTTTGAATGTGTTTAACTTTTAGTTGGTTGAAAAAGCTTTTTTTTTTTTTTTTTTTTGGAAAATAAGATTTTATTACAAAAGAGAGAAAGTTACAACTTACAAAAGCTAAGTTATAACTACCACCAGAACACCAAAAGACCTGAAAACAACAGGCCAACCCCACAACCAGTTCTAGATCCAAACCTAGCCACCTTCTAGGAAGGGCCTAGAACAACTGGACCTAGATTTCCGGCCATCTTCTAGGAAGGGTTCCGGAAACCAGGACCAGACAACAAAAAAACCAGAAAAACAACAAAGCCAAACACCCAAAAGTCACCAAAAACAACAGTCAGGAGCAGACATGCCTGCAAACCGACCAAAAAACCAATAGAACAAAAATAGGCAACAATAAGAACACCAAAGCTAGCACCAATAGCAGACAGTATGGCACAAAACAGTGCACATCAACACCAACAGCAGTGCACAGCACCAGCAGCAAGGCAAAGATCAGTGCAGCAGCAGCAAAACAGCAGTAGAAGGCAGCAGTGCAGCAACAACAAACAACATCAACAGACAACAGCAACACACTGTAGCAACAACAACAGCACCAACACACTGTAGCAACAACAACAGCACCAAAACAGCAGTGTAGAGGCACAACCAGCAGTGCAGCAGCAAGACAACAGTGCACAGCAGCACCAACAACAGTGCACAACACCAGCAGCAAGGCACAGCACCAGCAGCAAGGCAAAACCAGCAGTGCAGCAGCAAGACAGCAATGCTCAGCAATACACCCAGCAAAACACAGCACCAGAAGTGCAAAGACAGCAAGGCAAACAGCAGCAACCAACATACAATAGAGAAAAACAGTCAGTAGAAAAAGAACATAAAAAAAAAGATGCAACGGGAACCTCATCTGAGTAAAAAAGAAACCATAACGCAAACACTAGGAGCCCGAGACAAGCCCTAAACAATCAAATATTTGCTTCCCGCCGGGTTCTACAAACTGAATGAAAGACAATATCCCGAACAAGGGCATCAACAGATTTGCAGCAACCAGTAAAGAGAACTGCATTCCTTTGGATCCAAATACCATAAACCGTTTCAGTGAAGGCCACCTGGATCACTTTATTCTTCAATCTGGAACTTCTGCAGATTTTCTTTATCCAATCGACCTCATCACTAAGCTGCTGAACACGCTTGGAAACACGTAAGATACCCAATACCTTGCTCCAAACCTTCCTAGAGAAATCACAATCAAAAAATAAATGCTGAACACTTTCATTGCCATTTAGACATAGGAAACACTTTGGATCACAAGAGATGTGCCATTGAAGCAACCTATCCTTAGTGACAAGCCTATTCCACAAAGCTAGCCACAAGATAAAAACACTTTTGGGAGTTGCTAAGTTATGGAAAGTAACTCTCTTCCAAGGAACTTTAGGCATTTGAGGCCTAATAGCAGCATAAAGTTTCTTGATTTTCAACTTGTTGCCTTGAGTGAACTCATCCCATCCCCCTTGATCATTCACAATATCTCTACAACTCAAAATCTTCTTCAAGAACCAAGAGCATCTAGCAGGGGTAGGGGTGGTCTAACAATCTTTATGCTTGAAATAGTAGATATGGACCCACTTAACCTAAAGATTATCAGCCTTGTGAGCAATATCCCAAAGTAACTTAGTGACAACTGCTTTATTCCACTCAGGAAGAGAAATCAAGTTCCAGCCACCACAAACTTTAGGAAGACAGACATTATTCCAAGCAACCAAAGACTTCTTAGCAGGAGCAGAAGAGCCAGTCCAAAGAAAGCACCTGAACCTAGCCTCCATCTCTTTCAGAATTTTCTTCGGAAGAATAAAAATTTGAGCCCAATAAGTCTGGATACCAAACAACACACTCTTCACCAATTGAAGCCTCCTAGCATAAGACAAGTGTTTATCCATCCACCCTTGAATTATAGCAGTGACTCTCTCCACCAAAGGCCTACATTGACCAATAGTAAGCTTCTTTGAAGAGGGAGGGACCCCAAGATACCTAAAAGGAATGGAACCTTGAGAAACACCAAGAAGCTCGCTCAACTCTTTCTGGACATCAACAAAGACTCCTCCAAAGTAGACCTCACTTTCATCAAGATTAGCAGAAAGCCCAGAGGCACCCGAGAATTTCGAGAAGGGTTGGAAGAGAAGCTTAACAGAAACACTATCAGCTCGAGAAAACATCAATAAGTCATTAGCAAACATCATGTGAGTTAGGCTTAACTTTTCACATCTAGGGTGAAAGTTAAAATCAGGAGATAACCTAAGCTCATCAAGGCATCTGGAGAGGTATTCCATACCAATAGCAAAGAGAAAGGGAGACATAGGGTCACCTTGCCTTAACTCTTTCTTAGCTTCAAAGGGGGGGGGGGGGGCAGGAAAACCATTAATAAGAATAGAGTAAGAGACAGAAGTAAGACAATTCCAGATCCAATCAACAAATCTCTGAGGGAAACCAAGCTCCTGCATGACAGTGATCAAGAATCCCCACTCAACTGAATCATAAGTTTTCTTCAAATCCACCTTAACCATACACCTGGGAGAGATAAATTTGTGATCATAGCCTTTGATCAGTTCAGTTGCAAGAAGAATATTGTCACCAATGTGCTTGCCAGGAATGAACCCTGCCTGAGCATCATCAATCACCTCACCAATGACAGCAGCAAGCCTAGCAGTTATGACCTCAGAAATGAGCTTATAGACAACAGTACAACAGGCTATAGGTCTAAAATCCTTAACATGAGAAGCAGAAAGAACTTTAGGAACCAAAGTGATAGTTGTGCAATTCCAATGCCTAGGCAAGGTCCCGTTATTAAAGAAATCAATAACACTTGCATAAATATCATCTCTCACAATATGCCAAGCTCTCTTAAATAAAAAGGAGTTAAAGCCATCAATACCAGGAGCTTTAGTGTTATCAATTCCCTTAAGGGCTACATCAATTTCAGCATGAGAAATAGGCCTAATGAGGTAGCTCTGAGCAGCAGAGCTAAGCTGCTTACCCCTCCTCATAGTAACAAGGTCAACAGCAGGGAGCCAAGGAGCCTGAGTCCCTAAAAGAGACTTATAGAAAGAGATAATTTCATGAGAAATAACATCTAGATCCTTGAGCAACACCTGATTAGAATCAAAGATGGAGTCAATTTGATTCCTTGCTTGCCTAGTCTTCATCACAGAGAAGAAGTAGTGAGAATTGCCATGTCCAAGCTTAACCCAATTAATCCTAGATTTTTGCTTGAAGATGCTTTCCTGAATATCATTCCAGTGCTTGACAACCTTAATAGCATCAGATTCTTTAGCACATAAATCCAAATCATTAGGGTTCTGAGCCATTAAGTTTTGAATTCTAGAAAGCTTAACATTAGCCTGGTCAATCTTTTCCTCAATGTTACCAAACTGCTTGCTATTAAGAGATTTGATACTAGACTTCACAGAATTAAGCTTCTGCCAAACAGAGCTACCAGAACCCCAAGCCTGCGAAACAGTATCAAGAAAATCAGGGTGATCAGCAATACAATTTAGAAATCGAAAAGGTCTACCTTTCCCAACAGGGCCAGAGAAAATATCCACCAGAACTGGACTATGATCAGATAAAGAAGGAGGGAGATAAACAGTCTCCACATGCCCATGAGAAGCTAACCAAGCTTGATTACCAAAGACTCTATCAAGTCTAGAGAGCGTTCTAGGGTCAGTATGAGCCTTATTAGACCAAGAGTAGACGCACCCTTTGCTTTTGATTTCAGTGAGGTCCAAATCATCAACCAAATTCTGAAAGTCTCTAGTCTCATAATCAGTAACATCAGCACCATGAAGCCTATCTGAAGTATGAAGAACAGAGTTATAGTCACCAACACAAAGCCAAGGAGAATGCTGAATAGAGATGCTTCTGAGCCCCTCCCACAAAGGAAGCCTATCATGAATGGAGTGAAGACTATAGACAACAATGAGATAAATTTGAGTAGAGAGATCCTTAGAAGAAACAATACAATGAATGAACTGTTCATGAATCTTCAAGACATTAACAGTTACTCTATCCACATTCCAACCAAGCCAAATCCTCCCTTTAGGAGAATGATCATAATTACACAACCAAAGCCAATAAGAGCCAAACTTCCTCTGATAAGTGAGAACATTTTTCAATTTGATTTTTGTTTCAAGCAAACTAACAACATCAACTGAATGAGAGTGAAGCAACCTCTTTACAGAGGCAACTTTTCCAGGGTCATTCAGGCCCCTGACATTCCAAACAGAGTAAATCATGACACCAAAGGGGGATTAACCTCACCCCCGCTAGGATTTATAGTGAAACCACCTGCACCATCCATTTCATTTGCAAATAAAGAAACAAAGGCATTAGAGGTAGAAGCAGGTTGATGAACTCTAGTTTGCTGGCTTTTTGTCTTCCTCCCTACTATTCTCCACCCCTCATCTGAATTCTTAGAGGTATGAACCTGTGGAGTAATAATAGATTGCCCATGAACAGAAACACCAACATCAACAGCAGCAGTAGAAGCAGGAACATGGGTAGGCTTAGGAACCCAAACTTGCTTTTACTTAGGAGGAACATGAGCCAGTTGCTTAGAAGCCTGCTTAGGCATAGGAGGCTCAACAGAGCAATCATGACCAATCTTGTTACACTTAGAGCAAAAAGATGGAGCCCACTCATACACCACCCTGATCTCCAATAAGTCCTTTGAAGGACTCTCAATCCACACAAAGGTGGGCATAGGCTTTGTAACATCAATGTCAATCAGAACCCTAGCAAAAGACACTCTAAGTTTTCTAGTAGTACACTCATCAGCACAAATTGGCACTCCAAGCAAACTACCAAGGCGGCTAAGAGTGTGAGATCCCCTACAATTAAGTGGTAGATTAGGGAATTTAACCCAAAGAGGAATAGTTCTATGAATTTTAGCATGAAAATCAAAATTGGGACACCAAGGCTTCACTATTGCAGGCTTTCCAAAGAACATATGAGGACCAGAACAAAGTATAGTATCTCTATCATCGCTAGAACACATATTGATAATAAAGTACCCATCATCATGCCAATACACATCTGGGTTTTGCATATCATTCCATTGTTGAGCAAAAAAACGAAGAACAGCAGCAATAGTAGGATAAAAGCCAACCACATAAAAAACTAGAGCATTAGCCCATTTTCGATTACCTTCCTCAAGCTCGGCTGCCTGTAGCTCAGCAATGAGTTTCCCATCTTGCACTTTCGGAGCAACAAAGGATAATGTAGCCCCTTTTGCAGCCAATTTCCCAGTAAAAGGTGCAGCACGATTCTGCTCCAGAATAGGGGAAGAGGCAGCTCGGTTTTCATCATTGCGCGAGTTCAAATCCAAGGCAGAGGGAGAAGCAGCTCGATCTTCATTAACTTTGTGCACATTATGTTTCAGAGAGGGTGAGGAGTAATGAACAGAACGTCCTGGCTCACCACCATGCCCATATCCACCAGCATCCAATGGAACAGTAAACCCAGAAACCCTAGGTACTGTTCCATTGGACTGACGTGGCCTAGCAGCAGCTTCAGCAACAGAAGTAGCTTCAACATTCAAAGGAACACCGGAAATAGCACCACAAGCCTCCTGAACTAATGCCGGCGCCGGAGTAAGCAGTTCATCCCCCTCTTGTATCGGGCTAGGAAACGAAGGGGGTACTTGAAATTCCCAAATTTTGCAAAATCGAACCAACAACTTCATGAGCAGTCTTTTGTTGCGCTACTTGAGGTGTAGAAATGGCTTGCTTCTTCTTCTTCGCCATTGATATCCAGATTTGATGAAGAAAACCAATAAAAAATGAAGAACCATGAAGAAGAGAGAGAAGAGAGAAAGTCAACGAAAGTCAAACCTCTAATCTTTTCATTTAATAAGTTTTGTTTTGGTTGAAAAAGCTTTGTTTAAATGTGTTTGACTTTCATTTGATTAAGTTAGCTTTGTTGAATTAAATAGACTTTCATTCCATTCAAAAAGCTTTGTTTGAATGTGTTTGGGACTTTCATTTGAATGAAAAACCTTTGTTTAAATGTGTTTGACTTTAATTTGATTTAATTAGCATATTTATATGCATTTGACATTTATTCGATTTAAAAAGCTTCGATTAAATGGTTTAACTTTCATTTGACACAAAGAGATTTGTGTGAATGTGCTTGACTTTTACTTGATTCAAAAAGCTTTGTTTTAGTGTGTTTGACTTTCAAGTTATTAAAAAAGATTGGTTCTAATGTGTTTTACTTTCATTTGATTCAATTAGCTTTATTGAATGCATTTGACTTTTGTTCGAATTAAAAAGCTTTGTTTGAATGTTTTTAACTTTCATTTGATTCAAAAAGTTTTGTTTGAATGTGTTTAACTTTCATTTGATTCAAAAGCTTTTTTGATTGTGTTTTAGTTCATTTGATTCAC